TCCACGTGAGACACGGCGCAGGCCAGAGTCACTCCGTCCCGCAATAGACCCGGAGTGAGCCAGAACCTTATGTCCGATGCTGCCACTTGGGGAACCCAGATCAGCCTCCCCCCGTCCCGGGAGGGGTGAAGCCTGAGGCGTGAGAACCACCTCTGACAATTCCTCATGTGGAGAAGGCCTAGCCGCACCACAGCATGACCCGCCGCCATCATTCCCAGCAGGGACCTGAGGCGCCGAGCGGGGACTCTGGGGCCCGCCAGAACCTCCCTGGCCAGACGGGTAATGTTCATCCGTCTGTCCACGGACAATGCAGCACGGAATGTCACAGAGTCTAACTGCAGACCGAGATAAATCATGCGTTGAGCTGGCTGCAGCTTGCTTTTCTCCCTGTTCACCACAAAGCCCAGACGCTGTATGTGGGACAGGACCCAGTGCGTGTGGCTCACGGCCACTTCCCTGGATGAGGCCAGAATTAACCAGTCGTCTATGTAGGTTAAAATTCTTACCCCTGCGCGTCTGAGCGCCTCCAGTGCTGCCTCCACGCACTTGGAAAAAGTGCGAGGCGCGAGCGCGTAGCCGAAGGGGAGACGGCAGTACTCGTAATTCCTCTCTCCCACTGCGAAGCGCAGAAACCTCCTGTGTTCCGGCACTATCGGCACGTGGAAGTAAGCGTCTGTCAGGTCTATGGAGGACATCCAATCTCCCTGCCTGACACACTCGAGGAGCTGCTTTGTGGACAGCATCCGAAACTGCCGTTTGGAAATGCACTCGTTGAAACGCGCGGATCAAAATGGGACGCACCCCGCCTGACTTCTTTGGCACTAAGAAGTAAGGGGAGTGGCGTCCTGCGGGTCTACCTCCACTGCTGCGCCTCGACTCAGCAGGGAGGAGACCTCCGCTTGTAGTGCCTCTAATGATCCCCGTACCTGAGAGCGTGCTGCCCGTACGCCTCGGAATGGTGGTGGCTTTCGGGAGAATTGCAGTGCGTAACCCCTGCGCAATGTTTTCTCCAGCCATAGATCTGTCAGCAAACCTTGCTCCCTCCAGATGCTGTAGAAGTCTGTGAGGGGCGGAACGGGAGCTGGAACACGAGACGTCACGGCCCCGCCCTCTCCTGGTGTTCCTCGCAGGGAGGGGGGGTGGACGAAAGGGCCGGGGGGCCCCCTGCGTCACACCGTGAGCGCCGGGGGCGGTCACGTGTCCTGCAGGCCCGACGTCATAAGTACGGGACTGCTCATCCCACGTGACTCGGCTGCTGTGCCCCCCCCTGGCTCTTGCCTCATGGAGGGGGGGGGGCGAGCCCCTGGAGTGGGAGACCCCGTGTTAGCCTAGTAGCTCAAGAGATGCTAACACGCGTTCGGCCGAAGCACACACATCACTACTCACCAGATCCCTCCGCCTGACCTCTCTCTGGGAGGGCATAGCATGAACCAGAGAACCGGAGCTCGTAGCTCGCGTAGCGCACTGCAAACCCTGCTCTGGGGGCTGCAGGCCTAGCGAAGCAACGTTATGTGCTCGAGAAGTAACACATTCGGAATTCACAAGATTATTTGACATGTTACATACCCCCAAATGAGACTCTAGAAACGAGTAATGATGAAATGCCGGTCGGCCTTTATTGAAGGAAAACTTCCCACCCCGACCTCCTCTGCCATAGGGAGGTCGGCGGTGGGTGCGTTGCTCCCGCAAGCCACCCGTGGGTCTGTCTGGACCCGGGGGCCTCGTCGAGGGGGGACGATGGACAACAGAGCGCGGATAGGGGTCAGGATGCCTCCCGGGCGAACGCTCTCTGCCTCTGTCCCGGCTCCGTGATGGTTGGTGGGCCTCGCGCCTCGGTGCTAGGTGCGGGGCTAGCCTAGCCGAGTCGTTGGCTGCAGACTCCAGTCTCGCCACCAGGGCCTGCATGTCCGGGCCGAAGAGGGACGTCTGAGAGATGGGCAGGTCCAGCAGCTGCCTCTTCTCCACCTCCCTGATATTAGCCAGCCCAAGCCAAAGGTGCCTGGCCCCAACTTGGGCTGCAGCCATGGAGCGGCCACCGTCCACGGCTAGCGTCTGGCACATGCGCAGAATCGCCGCCGAGGTGGTCCTCGCCTGTGACAGGAGGTCTCCACTGAGCGCCTGGCCAGAGGAGAGCGACCTATTCAGGGCCCCTGTGATGAATGCCATGTTGTTAGCCAATGCGAGGACCTGTGCCGCATTGGCATAACATCTATCCAGCATCGCCACGACATCCTGTCCCGCTCGGAGGGAAGGAGAGGTCTGGTGCCGGGCCACACGAATGCGGAGGGCTGCAGGGCCATGCGGACTGAATCCTCGGTGTCTGGGCCACCATCCACGGCTAGCGTCTGGCACATGCGCAGGATCGCCGCCGAGGCGGTCCTCGCCTGTGACAGCAGGTCTCCACTGAGCGCCTGGCCAGAGGAGAGCGACCTATCCAGGGCCCCCGTGATGAAAACCATGTTGTTAGCCAATGCGACGACCTCTGCCGCATTGGCATAACATCTATCCAGCATCGGCAAGACATCCTGTCCCGCTCGGATGGAAGGAGAGGTCTGGTGCCGGGCCACGCGGATGCGGAGGGCTGCAGGGCCATGCGGACTGAATCCTCGATAACCGGTCCAGGACCGGTCCTGCCCGCTGCAGTACATGTCGTGCCCCAGAGCAGGCCTCTTGGCTGCTAGGGGCAGCTCACGTGTCGCGTAATGGACGAACGGGTCCATCCGCGGGCACAACGTGGGTTGTATCCTCCTCCTCCCTCGAGTGGTGGCGCCCACAGAGGTGAAGTCCTCCACCGTCTGGATCCAGCGATGACGTCCGACGCCGGAGGGCGAAGGGAACTCGGACAAACAAGGAAGACATCTCAGAATGAAGTAAGTACTGTAGTAGATCTCAAACGGCGCCAGAGTGAAAGAGGGGGTGCGGCCTTGTGCAGGGGCATTTATAGAGGACGGTGGCTGGTGATTGGAGCAAATTATTTTGATCTCTCTGGCGTGTGACTTGGGGGTCACGAGTGATATCCCACTAGCGAAGTCCTAAGGGACATAGCACCATGACGTAGAACTGGTTGGAGGCCAAAATAGAAGGAATTTATTTTTCATATATTGTTTTTTTTTACTTTAAGAAGGTATTTTGACATGTGACATGAGTTTCACTAATGTTTTCTGGTTGATATATCTCCAATTTATAACTCCAATTCATAAATCTGGTAGCAAAAATGAGGTTAGTAACTATAGACCATTAGTTTACTACCTGTAGTATCAAAAATATTAGAAAAAGTAATCATAGAGCAGTTAACGGAACATCTAAACGATAATAATGTTTTGCATCAAATGCAATTCGGTTTTCGCAGACATCATTCCACTGATGCTGCCTGCTGCTACCTGACAGAGAGCATCAGGGCCGGCATGGACAAGGGGGGCACGGTGGGTGCCGTGTTCTTGGACTCACGAAAGGCCTTCGACACGGTAAACCACTGTGTCCTCCTGTCCCGGCTTGCTCAGTGTAATCTATCCAGTGAAGGACTGGAGTGGTTCCAGTCATACCTTACTGACCGGGTGCAGTGTGTGAGAACAAATAATGCAACATCCTCCTTTAAACCTTGCACAACCGGGGTCCCACAAGGGTCAATCCTGGGGCCCTTGCTGTTCAGCATTTATATAAATCACCTCCCTGATGTGTGCAAAGACCTGGATATAATTATGTATGCAGATGATGCCGTCATCTTCACACATGGAAGGGATATGCAGACAGTGGCCTCAAAGTTGTCTTCAGTATTGGACAAAATCCAAAATTGGCTCCAATCTTCATGCCTGACATTAAACACTAGTAAAACAGTTGGCATGTATTTTCATAAAATAAATAATACTAAAGAGATGCCTAACATATATGTAAATGGAGAGGCACTAAAAAATGTAACGGAAACAAAATACTTAGGGCTCTATTTAGACCAAACACTGACATTCAAAAAGCATGTTAAAAAAGTAACCAACACAATTAAATATAACATTTCCTCTCTAAAGCATATGAGGAACAGCCTGACAGTCGAGGCAGCTTTCACTTATTTCAACGCCATGATAATTCTTCACTTTACTTACTGTTTATCTAGCTGGTCGCAGGCAAAGGAGACCACGCTCAAACCACTCAGATCTGTGTACAATCAGGCTTTAAAGGCACTTGACAAAAAACCACTTCGTTATCATCATTGCAATATCCTGAGTAAGTTCAAACTGCTCAGTTTTGACAATATAATTCTATATAATAATCTAAGAACTATATTCAAAATCACTAATAATACAGCTCCACCACCACTGAAGAACTTTGTCAGACTTTGTTCTGAGCAAAATACGAGAGCCACTCGGTCCACTGCAAATAAAAACTGTGTAATCCCAAAAAGATCCTCGGCCTTTGCACAATGTGCCTTCTCATTTCGCTCCATTAAACAGTGGAATGAGCTTCCAGACTGTCTGAAACTGTCTGTAGATCATAATAGTTTTACTCGAAATTTGAAAAAGTATATTTTAGATCATCAATCGTGTCAGCATTGATGAATGTATTGTAAACTGTAGGGATTGTTTATATGTTTTTTTAGAAGTGTACAGAAAACTAATGTATTTTATATAGTGATTTTATTGTAGATTAGATTTATAGATTGTAATGTTTTTGTACTCACCTGTCCAGGGACTGCAGATGGAAAATAGCTACTTTGCTAAATCTGGTACAAATCATCTCTTCTTTTGTAAAGACTAATGGTTTTGTACACTGTCCCTGTTTCAATAAACAATAAAGAAGAAGAAAACAACATGAGTTTATTGTTTCAATTTGACCAAAACTAGACTATATAGTGAATAATAGTCATTTTGAAAATATATATCTTATAGCATTCCTTAGAAGCCCATTACCATCAATGCTGCAAATTTATAATTATACATGGAAATCACTTTAGGGGCCACGAGTCTGAGTTGGACATGCCTGGGCCTAATGGATAGATTTGTTTGTTGCAGGAATGGTGAACTACAGCGAAGTGACTGGGTACCCTCTGGTCCAGCAGTGGAGTCTGCGCTCGGTGCTCTACCACGTCAAGCTCAATCAGTGGGTGCTCTCTCAAGGTAATTATACGTATTCAGCACAATATCTGGTTCTGTTAAAATGGCTCACAGTTAGCGATCATGCTGCAGTTGTTGTAACACACAGGTGCTTGGTTAGTGAGAACAGATGGTGCATTGTTAGGTTGTTTGAACCTAGAAAAAACTTAGAAAAAACTCAAAATACTGAAGACCTAATGTCTCAACCACTAAAACCGCAACAAAGCAGGTTTCTTCATTGATTCATGATTTTTTTTGAAGGTTGAAGGTTGAATAAAGACAAAAAAACAAACTTGCCACCTATCTCAACCACTGAAATCACGTAAACTTTATACTGAAGCCTTTATGACATGTTACTTCTCTATTATATGTTAAAAAAAAAAAAAAAAAAAAAAAAAATGTTTCTCATATTTTTCAAAATGTATATAAACTGTCAAAATATGTCTATGAGAATTTTGAGAAAAATGATGTTGTTTTTTTAATCCAAGTGTTTATGATGAAAATGTCATCCAAAATTGTCCAGTCATCGGAGAAGACACATTAATATGTCTATTGGGGAGAGATGCTCACAAATGATTTGGTGTATTCTTAAATTTGCTCAAGGCAAAAGTTTGGAACTATACCTAGAGAATGTTTAATGGTTGTAAACATTTGTCCCTTGCTGGTTTCATTTTAAAACGCCAGGACTGAGAGCTTCTTCTGCTGCCTATCCACTTCCACCACAGTACATAATGCAAGGCTGTATGTGCTGCGGTGCTAAAAGGTTCAAGTCAGAGCCATTACACAAATTAAAGCTTTTTAAAAAGTCAATTAAGGCCGATTCTGGTGCAGTGGGAGAGCAGCGGTTTGTGGGCTGAGTGCAACCCTGGGTCAACCTCCCTTTAATCACGAATTAGCACAAGATTACCTCAAAAGGGCAGGCATTGAACACTTTGTAGGAAAAAGAAAATAAACAACATAAATGGATGTGTAAAAGGCCATATCAGAAAAATAAAAGGGGCATTGATGGGTAATCCCATCATACTGAAGCATATCTGGAGCTCGCACATAGATACATAAACACAAATGAGGGTGTTTAAGTATGCCAGAATTAAAGACTTGCTAATAGGTTTTCAATATTTGTATATCGTATAATCGGTTTTAGATAGCACTTTTTTGGAAGTTCAATAAAAGGCTAAAAAAGAACAAATGTAATATTCACTAATAAATATATACAATTAAAATAGTTACAATTTTTAGTTACAACTAAACTATTCCATAATGTAGTGATATTAAACATACGAGACAATGATGATTCCTTATGTGGGCTTTTGTTCTGACAGGGTTAGCTTCACGCCATAACAGGGGCAGACGTTAGCAAACTGGAGTTTCCTTTGCTATGAAGGCATCTGATAAATCAAGACAATTCTTATGTGACTTATATGTGGATTTACACAAACAATAAAATAAAAAACTGCACCACATAGTGCTAAACCACAGATTTGTAACACTCTGAGCTATAAGTCAGATTTCAATATAAGTCAGATGGAGCCAGAGCGAGTTGGAGCAAAACTTTGTCTATAAGTGGTCATATTAACAATAATGACCCATTGTAACGCACTCTCTGCTTGTAAATAGCTTGTAGATCTGTAGATTACTCCACTTCGTCGCTACCACTGTCTCTACAAGAGAAGCTATAAGAGCTAGCCACGCTCAATAGATACGAATATCAATCAATCAACTCATTTAGATGTTAATCGGGGAATACATTCTTAATACACGTGCACTGAGGTTTTCAGAATTATCTGTTTACGTTTTCATCACAAAAATACTATTTTAATGTGACAAAAAGCAATAGTGCTAAACCTGGAAGTAACCATTAACATGAATTAAACATTTTAAGACACATTTACAGAGGATCGATTAATGGATTTAGGTTGAGTTTATATTTGGGTCAAGCACCGCTGATGTTCAGAATTCTTTGTTCCGTTTTCATGTAGAGTTCTAGTTTTGAAGGTGCTAGCCTAACTGTTACTCGCCTGCCATGGGAAAATCTTTGCGAACTATTTTATCTGCACTCATCTAATAAACCTTTCGGCATTCATAAAAGTGGACTGAAGTTTATTTTTCCCTTACATATACAGTCTAGGGTTATAACATCACAATGCATAACAAAATCACATATGACAGACATTTTCTGTATTGTAAATGTTCTGTAAATCATCTCGCATTCTTATCTAATTAAGAACCACTAGGATATTTGTGCTTGCAAATTTCTGGATGAAAACAGTATATATTGTGACCTAAATAGACAAAATCGATCTTTCTATCTCATTGTATGGAGTTTAGAATGCATTTACAGTATGTTGTGACCTTTTATAAGAACCACTGTATATTGCGTTCTATTACTTCTGCTTACAGTCAGTACATATTTCTATATTATTTCTTTTGTTTTGTTCTTCCCTGGTTCCCACTTGAGCGCATCATGTTTCAGCCTGCAGCCAGTGGAAGGCAAGGCCAGTATACTGATTTCTACATCTGATAAGCGAGCTCCCATCGCTCATCCGCCCTGTCTCCCACTTCGCTGGCTTCCTAATTTAATTTTAGCGAAAGAGAGTGAGAGCGATCTGGGCGTGAGGGCTGAGATATTAATACTGCAACTCCTACAAACAATAATGATAAACTACTATTGCACTTTTGCTTTCCAGTGTTTACCCAGCGCATCGCGGAGACAGCACGGTCAATGTAACCCATCAAAACAGCCTTTTCTTATGGAGAGAACGCTGCAATATTATGAGTAGCACACACTTTCCAAGCTCATGTAATGCTTGTTAAAAATGTGATGGCAAAAAAAGAAAGAGTTTATTTTCAGAAAGCAATTGGATTTTTTTCTGTTTGGATATTCTGGTAGTTGTGAGGGGACTATATACTGTAGTAAAAAATGTATTGCAATGTTATACATAAATTATGCTATGCCTCACTATGCCTGATGGTGGCACTGGTGGCAATGCAGGATGGGGCAAATGCAGAGACCAAATAGCTTTTCTTTTTCAAGTATTACTTTAAAGAAATAACAGCGACCGATTGCAGATGGATTAACTACTTTTTAAAATAATTTGTGGGGAATATAGCCTGAGTATGAAATTGAGAAGTCAGAACTAGTAGTAAAAGTAAAACACAAAGATTTATTGCAAAGTCAAAATTACTTAAGAGATGAACAGTTGTGTCCCTCGGGTGTGTCTCCTGACGAGCAGTACCTGGGAGCCTTTTAGCCTTGGTTGGCTCCGTCCACTACCCACTAAGCAAGCCGACGTTGAATCAACGTAATTTGAACGTCGTTGTCCGACGTAGAATATAGGTCACTGGTGGGTGCAGAATGAAAGTTTTCTCGACGTCGTTTCCCGACGTCACCTCAACCTCCAAATGTTACGTTGATGGCACGTCAATTCAATGTTTGAATGTGGTACGGAACCGGTCGGGTCTGACGTCCTATCAACGTCTCATATGACCCAAAATATTGACGTTTATATGACGTTCGTTTTCAGTCGTTCCCACTAAGCAAGCAGATGTCAAAACAACGTAATTCCAACGTCATCTGGACGTTCATTCAAGGTTGCAATGTGGTACAGAACCGGTCGGGTCCGACGTCCTCTCGACGTCTTATATGACCAAAATATTGACGTTTATATGACGTTCGTTTTCAGTCGTTCCCACTAAGCAAGCAGATGTCAAAACAACGTAATTCCAACGTCATCTGGACGTTCATTCAAGGTTGTAATGTGGTACAGAACCAGTCGGGTCCGACGTCCTCTCGACGTCTTATATGACCAAAATATTGACGTTTATATGACGTCCATTTACAGTCCTATTGACCTCTGTAGAATGACTTAATAGTCGAGACATACTTTTTGCAATAGGCAAGGCAAGTTTATTTGTATAGCACAGTCAAAACAAAAGGAAACTCAAAGCACTGAACAAAAGATAGAAACAATCAAACAAGGCATTACAATTATAAATATTGACAGTAAATTAAAAAGATACAAATAAAATCTCTCAAAAAATCTCTCAGTTGAAGCAGAAACAGAAGTGTTTTAAACCTGGATTTTAACATTGTCAAAGAAGAAGCCTGTCTCACATTTCCAGGAAGACCGTTCCAGATTTTAGCCTTGTGAATCTGAAATGCAGCTATATCATGTTTAGTTCTGACTCTGGGCAATAAACGATAAACACAGCATTCAAAAATCATTAGAACAACTGTAGTAGAAGGATATCAGTCATTATTGCAAATGGAGCTGCATTAAAAATCATGTTTCTCTACATCAAAGTACAAGTTAAACCACACAGGGCACAGTGTTATGAACACTACTGTACTGAACAGTTCATGCCAAAGTAAAAAAACATGATTGTAGCACCTATGTTTGGATCAGTATTAAAACAGGCACAAGCTACACTCTAGGTTCCTCAGATGTAAAAACACAATCTGAAAGGCAGAAGAATGCATTTATTGAATGTTGATGTTCCAACATGTGTCCTCTCTTGGTCTTCAGTCTCTCATCACAAGGTCCAAGCACAGCACCTGGAAATGTGGAACATGTTTAGTTTCAACATAATGTGGCAAAGTGATATAACAACACATAACTTTCTATTAATGCCTCAAACCACTCGATCCGTCACCATGTGATACAAACCTTGGCACTGCACTAGCTCGAGACACTGGAAGACACTCCGTCTGAGAAACTTGGGATAAGGCTTTGGTCATTGGAGTAATTCCATGTAAAAAACAATTGCAAATGTGCATTTGTTTTGCACATGGACACAAATGAGCCCTGAAAGCTACTTACCCTGTATTACTCTACACATGTCGCATTTCCGAGGGGGCATTTTCCCCTTGTTGCTCTTTTCCCTCATCATGAGTGAGTTGCTGAACAATCTGAGAAAAAGATAGATGTTTTCAAAGAGAATACACCAAATAATGGTTTATTCTAAAAACAACATATTAATACAGAACAACAATCAATGTGTGAGAGTGTGATTCTTACCTTTGAACACCTTCAACACAGTCTGACACCTGTAAGACTCAAACACACATGACACATTAGGAATACACATAGAACATTAGTTATTGCAACAATCATGAAATTATACTCTATGGATTTCACAAAAAATTGACTGCATTAGCAAAGGTAAATGTATTTTAATTATCATATGGCTGGTTTTAATGTTTATAAGAAAAAGTAAGAAATTGAATAGAGTTGCAAGCGCTAGTTAGCTTGCTACCAGCAGATGAATGGATGTTTAATATTTGCAGCTAACAATAACAAAAATAACGACTGTAGTGGCTCATTTAAACAGCCACAGTGAGAAGAAGTGAAAGTCTCTGACATTGAAGACCTGGGAAGACATTAAATCCATTTATTAAACAAAGCAATACATGAACATTAAACTCTCTTTCTGCAGCAGGTAACATCTGTGTGCTCCTATGGTCCCTATGGTCCCACATGGTCCCACACCTGAACTCAACTCCAACTGATGACATCACAGGTGTCTAAATGATGGGAGTGTCCCAAATATTAAAGCTGATCTCCCTGTTTTTAAACTTAGTTTACTAAGTACTGTTGTCTTTTTGCAGTTTATAAACCATTGTGAAATATACAGTAACTTTACATTTTAGAATTGAATTATTATTTTAAAACTCAAGAATCTTAACCTTTTTTAACACATAGTTTGTTGGACAGTCTAACCTAAGAATTCTAATGTGTTAAAAATAGTTTGAAATATGAAAAACAATATCATATTTTAAACTTTAACTTAAAAACAAAAAATAATAGGAAAAAGATAACAGATAAGTAATTCCAGCTTAAAAGAAGCCGTGCAGATTTGTACATTAGAATAAAAAATATTCAAAAGCAGCTGAGAACAGGTGGGTCTTTAACCTGGATGTAAACAAACTGAGTGTTTCAGCTGATCTGAGGCTTTCTGGGAGTTTGTTCCAGACATGTGGAGCATAGAAGCTGAATGCAGCTTCTCCGTGTCTGGTTCTGACTCTGGACTCGGATCCAGATGACATGAGGGGTTCTGGTTGGTTCATAAGTTATGAACAAGGCACTCAAACAACACTTTTGCACATGTTCGTTAAGGCACAGCAAACAGTGACAATCTTATCTAAAGGCATTAGGTTTTCACCCTCACATTTGAGAAGCATATGCACAGGTACAGTTGAGTGTAAGAATTTGAATTTGTTGCGCACAACACCAATCACCCTCTCAACGTGAATTCTGAGATGGAAGGTCTAATCTGAGGCGCATTACAGTCAATAGGACAAGCTGGAAGGGTGAGAGCTTCCTCATCCTTCCTTGAGGCAGCTGCTGGGCCGGCGATGGGGGCTGCTGGGCTTGGGCTGGCGATGGAGGCTGCTGGGCTTGGGCTGGTGATGGAGGCTGCTGGGCTTGGGCTGGTGATGGAGGCTGCTGGGCTTGGGCTGGGAGTGATGACTGCTCCAGATTAGAGCCCTGCACTTGAGCCCTTGGCCCGAGGGCCCCGACGGCCCGAGGGGGCCGGGCTTCGGGCCGATGACCGCATAATGACCTCGGACACGGGCTCTTCATTTTCAGAGCGGCAGAATAGATTTACGAACGCACCCACTGAATATTGCGTTCTATCACGCTGTAGTGTTTGTTGTTCTGTGTAGTGTTGTCATTGACGGCACATAGCATTACTTACAGGTGTGTTGCAGCATCTGGGGCATCATACAGATGCGGCCGTTCACTCCGCACCCCTCCGCACACACAGAACTCATTGCAACACATCACTACCATGTATAACTCCGCCCTCTAGCTAAGTCTGCGTTCATATCAGTGCGCGGCACTATATACTACGCTAAAACATTGTTATGGGAGGTTAAAAAAAAAAAAAAGGCGGGCTTGATGCGGGTTTCGGGCCTGAAAATTGAGAAACCATATCGGGCCGGGCCGGGCTGGGGCGCCACCCCCTCGGGCCAGGGCCGGGCTCGGGCCCAGATAATAGGCCCGTGCAGGGCTCTACTCCAGATGCTGGGTACTGCGCTTTACTTGCCGCTGATATCGCGCTCCATCTGTTTCTTTAACATTATTGTGGCCTAACCGCAAGGATGGTGTCCAGTCAGGGTGATTCTCCAACATCTCATATGATGGTTTACCTAGAACAGAATAATGTATGTAGTCAATGCTTTAAACTGGCAACAAGGTAGCATAATGTCATGAACAGAATCTCAACTATTTTTAGCAATCTCATATAATGGTTTACTTACATCAGATTAATAAAATTATTAAACAATCTGGAATCTAAAGAAATATTAAACAAGAAGGTAACGCTATTCATGGTTTCATAAAAGGGCTCAGGGGGTAGTGGAAACACAAGACAAAAAAAAAGTTTGGGCACCACTGGTTTAGAGAACATAAGAGACAGAGACAAACGCACTTTGAGTGCCCATATTCCACCAACAAGGTAGGATAATGAGCAGAAACTTAAATATTCTTAGTTAACATTAATGGTTGGCCATTAAGCATTTTCATAGAGGCAACAGTTTGTTAGATAGTTAGCTAGGCAGCTAACTTAAGATGCACTTCAGTGTTTGCAACATTAACAGCTAGGTAACCTACACTTCTTAACTTTAAAAAAACAACATAAAGACATTTTAGGACGTACCCGAGTGAAAATGCAGAGAACACACTCTCATCGACTGGGGGTGAGATCGAAAGTAAGGTCCTTTCTTCTTATTGCAGCCAACCAAGCCATCCGGCGTCTCTTCGTCAGGTCAGACACTTGCGCTCCCTGATGTTGTATCCATTTTGGTGGCCTAAAAAATTGTAAACCGTTGTTCCTACGTTTTCCTTTCTTATTGTGTGAGGTACTGGAGCAGTTTTTCACACACCAATGTGCTACAGGCATGCTAAAACAGAAATAGCGACGACCTCCTTTGCTACCGAGTTAACAACAACAAGTGTTTGCCGCTGGGATCCTACCAACATGGCGGAGACGGGGAGGGGCTCTGTGCTATGACGTCAGCTCCTCACTCTCAATAGATTCATGCACTGGCAATTCAAAATACAGATAATATACAAAATATACTTAACAAAATCCACGTATACGTGAGAAAACAACTTATTTTCTGTCTCCAACTCTTTTCAATGTGGAAATGATACATCTATATCTAAAAACTGTGCAGACTGTGTACTTACTAGAGAGGGTGATTCCAAGTAGCTAAATAAAGCAGGGCGACAGCGTTGAGTTTCGCTGATCGCTCTCATTTGTCGCCTCCCGTGTGTCGAGCCCTTCAGGCTGTAAAGCCGTTATACTCGCGCGGCGCATAAGTGTGCGTCGGTTGTTTAGGGTGTTATGTATTATTTTGTCACAGTAGTCTGTATAAATGCCTGGCCGTGGTGTAGCGGTTGCGTAATGAGACTTCAGTCCCAACGACGCAGGTTCAAATCCCCGTCGGAAAACTTTTTACTTTTTACTTTTTAGCGAACAATTTTTCTGTTTGGTTAAAAACGAATAAACACTCAACATAAGATTATGTAGTGGCTAATAATAAAACTTGTGAACCCATGCATTTGCATACAATCTCAAGTGCTCACCCCTTATTTGCAAACTTGAGATTGTTAGCACAACAAATGCATACATTCACAAGTTTTATTATTAGCCACTACGTAATCCTATGTTGAGTGTTTATTAGTCTTTAACCAAACAGAAAAAAAAATTGTTCGTTAAAAATCAAAACAAATATGTAAAGATAATAATACACACACGTGGGCTCGAACTCACGTAACCAAGGCTGCACACATTTGCTTAACCACTACACTACCGTCAGGTACACTTGCACCGCTTCACAGCCTATATATTGTATTGCTAGATCAAGACGTACTGCGTCGGTCAGCCGATGACCTGTTTTCGACGTCTAAGGGAGGTCGGGATTGAACGTCATATCCACGTATATGGGAGGTCATTGTTTTACGTCCAGATGCGCACCTTGCACAGACGTCGTTTGGACGTAAATAAAAGGTCACGACCGACCGACGCGATATTGACGTGATCTGGAGGTTGAGTGGACGTCGGATGTTTAGTGGGTAAGGTCTGACCCAGGACCACAAAATAGCTGAGTCTTTAAAAACAAAAGTATTTACTGAAAATAATCCTGGGATGAAATGAGCAGTTTGAGATGGGAAAATATACTTACAGAAATTAAATTTTGTAATTAAAAAGGGACCTACTTTGTCACATGAGGACATACTTTAGAAAACATAATCAACAGCCTGTTCTGTAAACACTCGCGATTATTTCTGCTCTGAAGCTGTTTTTATAATCGTATTGCTCTTTTTGCATCCCACTGCTTCTATGTTTCTCTGTCTCCACTCTGTCAACATCAGCGTTCTTAGGTTGAAAAGCTGCTGGTGTAATCAACAGGTTTTTTCTGAAGTACACAAAAGCTCATAAAGGCATTAACACACAACTAAGACGTCCACACTTTATTGAAATACCTTTGTTCAATGAAAACTGAGTTAAACCCAGATTAGAATGGATTAGTGCGGGTCTATAACACCAAATGACACTCTTAAGCCTCGACAATATTTGACATTGATCACAAGCTAATCTAATGGTCTGCAGAGTCAACACGCTGCTAATGATCCTCCACCGGCAAATGTGATGGTACCCGCACACAGCTGCAAGGACATTCTATCCTAAACAACATGAGCTAATTCTGGTTTAGATTCTTGTGGTGTTTGCATTAGTAACATTACACTGAGATAGCACCAAGTTTAAGAATGATTACATCGTTCACAAACTGCAAACAAACACAGTATAGTACATTCTCTCGCACTGTAATGGATGAAAAAGGAATTATTCTTCTGGTGGGTTTTGTATATTTGAAGAAAATCACACGGCAGTCTGGGCCTGTGTTGCAAAAATGTTTTAAGAGATTCAAATATTGTTGATGTAGAGTGATGAAATGTGATGTTTTAATAATAGAGCAGTGTGTGCTGTAATACAAAATATATTGGCCAACTTTTCTTCAAATAGAAAATGTGACTCATTAAAACAAAGATGAAAACTGATTCCAACTCTTGTCTCATAATGAATACCTAAAGTAAGTTAACTAGAAAAAGAGAAAAATAATCCGTAATCTTAATGAATAATTGGGTTGCCACGCAGTTAAAACTATGGTATACAAAAAAGCTTAACTATTAAATAAAATCTATCCTTCACTCTTAAAACAGTTTGTTCTTTCCATAGTTTTCACACATGTGTTTGTTTGGCCCTTCTCACATTTTTAGATCAGCTTTTCTGATGGAAAAGTGAAAAAAAAAAGGTAAACCGAAAAGAATCATATGGGGACTCACTGGGCTCTTTTTATGCTTTTATGATTTCTAATAAAATGAAGATTGCTGTTGTGGTCTGGTTTTACTTTTGCAAGACTCTTCTGTTGAGACAAACAACATGTAATATTAATGAAAGTTGAGAATGGCCTGTTCCTACTTTTATTGTGCTCAATATAATAGGATAGTGCTCGATAGATATAAAAGTCTGCACTTTCTGTATAGTATTTTCTTTCTGCAGACCCTGCACTAAAGCTTTAAAACAATTTTCAGTATATGTTACTGAAAAAAGCCTGTAAGAGCTAAGAAAAAATGCAAACCCATATTTTTCTTCCTATAGCCTTCAGCTCAGCCATCCATTCTCTGGACGGGGCCACGCAGCGCAGTGACTATGTGTCCATCCTGAGGGAGTTTGGGAACCACTACGTGCAGGAGGCGGTGTACGGCTTCCAGGAGTCCTGCACCATCTGGTATCCCAACAAACAGGTCCAGAGACAGCTGTGGCTCGAGTACCAAGACATCAGCAAAGGTAGGACTTATGCTTCCACTGCTTCTGCCACACGCGACCTATAATGGAGAGAATTATCACTGATTACTGGGACGCATACGAGGGAGGGTGGCTGTGCAAAGCTGCGTCTCACAAAAGTGCCAGAACTTCTGTGAGCTACTATATATCCAGAATCACTACTGGTTGTGGTTTTGTCAAGAAGAGGGGGCTATTTGAAATACAAGTCATATGGCCAAAAATATTAATATAATTTTCAAATTGAGATGAGGATAACGTCACCTTTAAGGCCTAAACTATTCTTATGCTGTTGTCATCACTAGACACTGTAGACCATTGTAGACCAGAGATCCTGTGTTGAAAAGAAACTTATTGACACTATTATATAGGCTGTGAAAACCACTAAATTACTGTGACATTTTCCACAAACAATTGTACAAAAAACACACGTACATTTGAATTAATTACGGTAAATATATTAGATAAAGTTTGGCTACACAAAGAACTGGTGGAATTGACATTTGGTACAGCTTTTTGGCACCTCATATTTTTAAAGGCATTCCATTTAATATGTATTGTGATTAGTCCAAGGTTCAATAGAGCGGCGTTATGGCAGAGAGGATGAAACTACATCGATTAATAACAGTTGTAAACATATTATCAAGTTTTCTAGTATTATAATTAGAGCAATAGTTAATAGTTGCCACACTTGCTAAGGTTCCCTCAGAGTTCATTATATGACAGGCCATTTTGTGCTTATTTTTCAACATTTCAACAACACTGTCATTATTGTATTCTATTTGACAATATTTTTTTGAGTGCTTCTGTCAACATTTCTGCCAATTGTCACAATGTATTTCTAGTCAATGACAAGTATTTTCATTCCAAACTCTGCTGTGTTGTGCTGAGCCGAGATCTGTTTGGCATGTTCCATCTGCTGTGCCTGGATACACGTGCCACATATACTAACTATCTAATGCCACAACACTTTACCATCTGTTTGTCCCTATTGATTGTAGCCAAGCGTTACATTATAATCAGCACTGAACATAAGCTGCTTCAGCACCTCTTCAGGGGTTTTACCTAATTGAACGATCAAAGTCTAACCGTCTTCGCTGGTACATGTCGGCCACCATCTTTGTTACCCAATTACTTTGTTGCTAAGTTACTGCAACACAACTGGCTTACACGTGGGCTTTGACTATGCTGATTCTAAGGTTTTACTAAATACATATGGTTTGTTTGGCCTCACATCCTCAGTCGGCTGTTAGATTGTTACTCAGTGCATTAAGTGTGGATTTGAAAGAGGTTTTTGACACAGATTTGTTACGTGTTTCAGTTCTTCCTAATCACTAAACTGCAAAAATATCTAAAATATGAGGTAATAATTTCTTGAATCAGGTGTTTGAATCTTAACTTAAGTAGATTCTGACTATCTTAAAAGAAGATTTGTCTATGGGACGAGCCATTTGGTCTTATATCACGAACTGCTGCTTTATTTTCTCATTCCAAGGGAGATATTTTTTGTGTCTTTTTAGAACGCGACCATTGTGCTTGTCCCATTGGCAAATTTTGTTTTAAGGCAGTCAGAATATGCATCCTAACGTGCATTAGGATGGCATCATGTGTATGTATGTATATTTTCAGCACATAAACTGAAAATATTCAGATTTTTTCCATTTTGAGCCATTTCATTCATAAGCTATTTTAAAAAGCATACAGTGTGGCATTCAATTTAGGTAGGATGTCACTTTTAAGTTGTGTTGGAGGGTTTTATTGTATTCCAATTAACAAAAGCAATGTATTGTACACAGATGATGCAAAACAATCTTGTTTTAATCCATGATGTATTTATTCACTGTGCAAGTATGAAACAATATGAATACTGTTCTCTGACTGAACCGTGTAATAGAACAAACCAAACAGAAAACTGACAGATGGCGGTGTATATGACTGGTTTTATGCATCCTCATCAGAAGCAAATTCCTCCTAATTTTTTGCCTTTCACACACCGAAAAATGCATTACTAAACAATTTGGCAAGCTCGTAAAAATGCTGTGTGATTCACTTTGATTGTTGTTTATTCATTTTGCCTCAATGGCCTTGCTGTCTGATAGCCTTTTTAGAGATGCAGTGTGTTAACAGCTTGTAGATTATGCCGTGTCAGCTATTATCATTTGTCGTAATAGACTCAAAATTATACCCCTTTAAAGCTTTTTGATACATGTCAACAGCAATATACATATATAGTGCACCAGGGTAAGAAGTACTGGTAAACGTGTCGGTTGTCGTTAGTTAAAGGCAGTAGAGACAGGTCAAGGCTAGAGTTTCTTCTTTTGTAATAAGGCCAGACATGTTTTTTTTCTTTTGTATACAGTAGTATACAAAAGTACTAAATGTACAGTCTGAATAATCTGAAGTTTTAAATCACCCTTTTCACTCTTTTGTCTGATCCCTTTGATCATTTGATCCAATACTATCTGCGTCTCAGGCATGGCCCAGGTTTTTACCGACCTGTTTTCCATGCTGAATCAAATGGATATCACTGGCACAAAAAAAAAAAAAAGCGAAACCCAAACCATTTTTCTTAATCTTTTCCTCGTTGTCTTGGAACGCGCTCTGGCCTTTCGGAGGGAGTAATGAGCTCACAGGAGAGTTTGATGATCCATGTCCTCACCCTTTGCTCCAAACATGGCTCTGCCCTGGTCTGGGACATTGGATCACTCCCTGCTCCTTCACTTCTACACTGCACTTACATATGTGTGAGAGGGCTGTTTGGAACAAGCTTGCATTGTCCCTGTGAATGAATGAACAAAAGCATACAGTACATGTTTGTGATATAGGATCTGTAGTTGCTTAGTCGATTAATGCAAGGCAAGTTTATTTGAATAAGGCATAATTCATACACAAGGCAACTGCTGAACAAAACAAGATAGAGACAGTCACACAAGGCTTTGCTCCCTTTTGTTTCTCTCTGTTGTCATTGTTTACACACTAATTTAATCTCCTTCCCAGTACTGTTCTATTAATTTGTACGCATTCAAGCTACTAAAAGCTTCAATAGGTGGTATTCTAACACTGCTTGGAATATTTATGTTTTTTTTAATTATTATTATTATTATTATTTCTATTTTTTGTTTTGTTTTTTTTTGTATTTTTTTTTGTATTAGAACATATACATGATGTGTTTTTTTGTGTTTTTTGTGTGTGTGTGAGCTGTACTCATCCCTGCACTCTCCTTATGATTGATCACAACAACAACAAAAATCACACAAAAAAAAATAATCATAAATAACACTGGGTAACAAAAAATATTTTTTGAAAATAGTCCAGGGTTTTTCAGCTGAATTAGACTAATTTTGATGCTCTGAGTCCGAAAATGACCTTGGTTTTGCTCAATCAGGTGAAGATTTTTTGCTACAGAAATATTTTTTTTAATCGATTTTGCGTAAAAAACAAATCTGCGGATCATCAGCTGAGAAATCCTTGACGTTTTTTCCGTTTTCCTCCAAAAATAAAAGTCAACGTATCCAAAGTCATTCAGTTTTTATTTACTCCATCAAATTTGATAAGCAGAATTCATAATAACGTAGACGTACGTAATCCGTACCACTATGGCTGTATCTCAAAAAGTTGACCTGATAGAGCAAAATGCATGTGATATTTGGACTCAGAACACCAAAATTAGTCTAAATCAGTTGAGAAACCCCTGACCATTTTTTGGCTGTCAACTTGTGTAATCACAGTGCATAAAATAATTCGCTCAGTTGTATGTACAGGTACCTGGATTTGAACATTGTTAGAGATAAAGCAGTTGTTGGTTAGCCTGGCTCTGCCAGACCCTTGTAGTTCCGCCATGCTCCACCAGAGGCGTTTGGCTGAACCACATGGGTCTGGTATCAAGCCCATAGCGAACGCCTTCCCCAGATTATTTTTTAATCGACCAATCAGGATTGCCAGTGTTACGTGGGGTTTGCACTGCCTTCTCACGCTTCTCTCATGCAGCAGCGAGAGGAATCCAAGATGGCGGACGTAAAGTCCACGAATCTTTTTAAAAGAGTAAATACGATTGAATTAAGACACGGATGTCACTTTTAATGCAATTTGAGGCGAGATGTAGATGGTTCTATGTTGATATATGTGTGTTTTAAGAGTCAAATGTTCCTGTAAAGTTTGGTTGAAGCACTGGTTCAGTGTTCCTGTTTACACACTATGCAGCAGGGTTGCCAGGTTTGGTGGTCCCCGCATATTTTTTTCCAAGAGACTTGTAGGTATTAAATAAACAGAAAGACAATAAACAGAATCATGATAGCCCAAGTTGATTATATTACGTTTTTAGCCAAAAAATCATTCTGTTGTGTGTTTTTTTGTGTGGGTATTCTCGTGGATTTTGGGTTGGAAAATCTTGCTGGGATTTGGCAACCTATGGGAGCCGTGTGCTTCGATGTGAGTGGTTGAAAGCAGACTTCATTCAAGATAACGGACAAGTGGTCTATCCAATCACATACAAGGATTTTTTTTTACAAGGCCCTGCCTTCTGAAATCCAACCACTATGGCTCAGTACCAGACTCATGTGTGAAGTGCAGCGAACTACATGGGTCTGGCGAGAGTCAGGCTAGTTGTTTGTTCCCTAGGTGACCAAATATTGCATTAGTCTACTCACTATTTTATTGTAAATACGTACATGTTGAAATGTAAAAAACTGAGAATGAGAAGACATGGAGGAAAATGGCTGATGATGTTGGTATTTACTTTGGAATTCAAGCCAGAGAAAACTCTCAATTTGTTTTATATTTCAGTGATTTTACCTAAGCCTGAACCTGCGAGCAGATTCAGAGTTATTGCCACGCCTCCATTTTAGTCAACAAATCAATCAACAGGGAGTATGTTTTGGCGATCATATATATTTGATTGTGTCGATTACAGCCCTAAGTGTGTATGCAAATGCAAAAATCTGTTTTTCTATATGTTTCTAAGTATAAACAATGTCACTTGTTCAATGTTACAATGCTACAATGCCACTGTTCCAGTTTATTCAGAATATTTGTTGGGGATGGGATGATAATG